TTTTTTTTTTTTATGGCTTGAGATCTCATTTTTTTAATGCTGAATGATATTGCATTCTCTGGATGTACCACAGCTTATTTAATCCATTCACTACTGAGGGACATCTTGGTGGCTTCCAAGTTTTAGAAATACTGAATAGAGCTGCTGGAAACACATGTGTGCAGGTTTGGTGTGAACATAAGTTTTCAACTCCTTTGGGTAGATACCAAAGAGCACAAATGCTGAATTGTATGGTACGAATATGTTTCATTTTGTAAGGAATTGCCAAACTGACTTCCAAAATGACTGTGCCTTCCCACCTGCACTGAGTTCCTGCTCTCCCACATCCTTGCTACCTATTGGTGAAAAAATGAGATCTAAGCCATAAAAAAAAAAAAAGAAGAAACTTTTTTCCCCCCAAGACAAGAGTCTCACTCTGTTGCCGGCGGCTTAGAGTGCCGTGGTGTCAGCCTAGCTCACAGCAACCTCAAATGCTGGGGCGCTCAAGCCAATCCTCCTTTTTTTTTTGCCTCAGCTCCTGAGTTAGCTGGGACTACAGGCATGCACCACCATACCCAGCTGTATTTTTCCTATTAATTTTAGTTTGGCCAATTAATTCGTTTATAATTTTTAGTGGAGATGGGCGTCTCACCTTGCCTCAGGCTCGGTTTTGAACTCCTGACCTTCGAGCGATCCTCCCACCTCCGTCCTCCCAGAGTGTTAGGGTATTACAGGCATGAGCCACCTCACCCTGCCTAACTTTGGTTTCTAACTTCCTTACGATCTTGTTCCTTTATCATACTTTAAGAAACTAATGAACTTTAAATAATTAGTTTATAATTTTGAGCACACTTTTATTGTGCTATGTTATGAGTAAGATGCTGGTGACTGTGATTTTACTGTAATGCGGTAGTAGTCATGAGAGTGCGCATAAAGTCAGTTGTGTCCTGACGGGTTATGATTCTTTGGGAGTGTTAAATGGTAATCCCCATGGTATATCCACAAAGAAAACTGCGTACACGGCCGGCGCGTGGGCTGCACACCTGTAATCCTAGCATTCTGTGAGTTGAGGCGTGGATAGCTGCCAGGGTCAGCAGGTTTGAAACCAGCCTGAGCAAGAGCAAAGACCCGCTCGTCTACTATAAATAGAAGAAATTAATTGGCCAAACTATATAAGTTATAGATTAAAAAAGCTAGTCCGGCATGGTGGCACATGGGCGGTGTATCCCATGCTACTTTGGGAGGCTGAGGCAGGAGGATTGCTGAGGCCCAGGAGTTGGGATGGTTGCTGGTGAGCTAGGCTGACGCCACGCACTCACTCTAGCCTGGGCAACAAAGTGAGACTCTGGTCTCAAAAAGGAAAACAGGCCACAGAATTTACACAAAAAGAAATAAAAAAGGATTTCAGACATTGGCCTACAAAAAGTCAACTAACATAGAAGATGAAATGCAGGGACACAAAGCTGTAAGGCACATGGAAAAACAAAAAAGCACAATGACAGAAGCACGCCTACCTCCTCGTCGTGTTTTAAGTGGATTAAACTCTCAGTCAGCAACACAAGGAGATTGGGCGAATGGGACAAAAACATGTGATCCAACTATATGCTGTCTAGAAGAGACTCAATAGAGATACAAAGACACAAATAGACTAAAAGTGACAGGATGGAAAAAGATACTCCAGGCAATTAGTAACAAAAAGTGCAGGATGGAAGGCTATACTATCAGACAAAATAGTAAGTTTCCCATTGTGTACATTTTGACATCATTAAAAAAAATTTTGAATTTAAATCTTAGATTACTCTAAAAGAAAAAACAAGGGTGTGGGCATGCAGCGACTGCTGAATGGCTACGGGTTTCCTGGTGATGAAGCATTTTTGAAACTTTTCTTTTCCCACCACTTCCACCTGATGGACAGTTGGTCCCTGTGCAGCGCGACGGTGATGCCGTCACATTTGAACGTGCTCCGTGACACCGACTTGTCCACTTTAGAATGGTGTTCGATGAATTTAACTTCAATAACACTTTAAAACAAGCTAATAGCGTTTTTTTTTTTTTGTTTTTTTAGACAGAGTCTCGCCTTTGTTGCCTAGGTTAGAATGAGTGGCCGTGGCGTCAGCCTAGCCTCACAGCACCTTCCAACTCCTGGGCCTCAATGCTGAATGCCTCCTGCCTCTAGCCTCCTGCAGTAGCTGGGGACGTACAGGCAGTGCCACCACCGAAGCCCGGGCTAATTAATTTTGTTTTGTCTATATCATATTAGTTGCCCAATTAATTTTCTATTTATAGTAGGGAGAGCGTC